CTATATGACCTAAATCAGGTCACTTAACCTCGATTGCCTTCAGAAAAAAAAGAAAAAGAAGAGGAAGAAGTACATGCCTTTATCACCAAAGGTGTTCAGAAATGTACACCCCAGAAAGAGGGGCATGATGTTGTGTACTTAGCTTTCCTGAAAACAGGTAGCGAATGAATGGAGCCTAAAATGCCAAACTGCAAGATAATCAAATGAAAAAGATATTGACTCCGCTTTTAGACTGGTATAAGAGGAAGGAAATAATAGCACATCAAGATTATACAATACCTTTTATTCCTTAAGATGGGAAAGTAGCAATATCAATCTACATGTAAATCTGTATATGGCTCCTTTAATCAACTTCAGAGATACTTGAAGTCAATGAAATTGAATTTTCTGTCTTCCCAATAGTGTACAGATCAGCATAACAGAAAGAATATTTGGATTTGGAGTCACAGGATCTGCGTCCCAGACTGGGCTCTGCCACTGACAATGTAAATGACTATAGGCGAGTCACTTAAACTCTCTAAGCCTTAGCTTCCTCATTGGTAAAATGAGCTTATATATAAAAAATATATTCCTGTTTCATAGAGGTATTGTGCAACCAAATTAGAAAATGTAGATGAAAGTACTCTGTCACTGATGAAGTGCTTTGCAAATATCAGTTAGTATTGTAATCACAATTAATGACATTTTAAAAATTTGTGTCCTTCAATAGTGTTTCGGTTGGGAGATTCCCTACCTTACCAAAGTAAAGTATACAAATTCTTGAACCTAGCATTCAAGGGACTCCATCATATGGCCACAACTTACCTTGCCCAGTATCATTTCACACTATTCTTCTTCACATGTACTATGTTTCAGCCAGATTGGAAAGCTAGTTGTCTACTGAACTTAGAATTTTATGTCCTGCTTCCATGAAGCCATCTCTGCTTCTCAGAACTAATTATCTTCTTTCAAGTCTTCTTTCAAGTTTCCTTTCAAACATTCAGTCAACCAGCAAGCATTTACTAAGCATCTGACTAGCCAGGTATTGGGCTAGTGGTTGGGGATATAAAGACAAAAATGAAGTAGCTCCCTGCCCTCAAGGAGCTTACACTCTATTCCAGGTACTACCTCCTCTGCTGAAGTCTTTCTTGACTTCCTACCCTCCAACCCAATCCTTGATTGGTGGTGTTTTCTCTCTTCTTAAACTACCTTGCATTTACTTATCCATGTTCTAGGAGATCCCCATATCTCCTTGGTATAACTTAAGCTATTTGAGGGATGAGACTCTTGCTTCTGTCTTTGTGTCTGCACAGTGCCTGGCACAATCATTTAATAAATGATTGATGTTGAATTCAAAGTAGTTCTTAGGAGATGTGACAAACCTCCTGCCATATTCTCTCCCTTCCTCTAAGTCACCAGTTTTACTTGTCCAGGTGCAACTCAAGATGGAATTGGGCTCTGGAAGGAGCGTGTGTGTGTGTGTGTGTGTGTGTGTTGTGTGTGTGTGTGTGTGTGTGTGTGTGTGTGAGAGAGAGATATCCATTTATTATTATTTTTTTAAATTTTATCTAATATTTTATTTTTCCCCAGTTAAGTGTTAAAACAATTTAAAACATTTTTTTTCAGTTTTCAGTTACAAATTCTATCCCTCCCTCACCTTGAGACAGTGAGCAATCTGATATAGGTTATATGTGTGCAATGTGATATCTATTTAAAGAAACCAGGAGGCTATTAAAAGCAAAACTGCTAACACATCATGCTTATGATTTTGGAACACTGCAAGACTAATGAAGCATAGAGTGTGTTAGCTGCATATATGAAGATATGCCTTTCTTTTATGGGTCTGCTTGATGAAAAGGATTTCCATCTTCCCCCATCCCTTTTGCATAGCTCAAATATCACTCCCCTTTTGGTAGAAATATCTCTTAAGAGCTAGTGAGATCATAGAGTCATGAAAAGGTTAAGAAAGTGGCTAAATTATTTCGAGTTTCTTGGAAAACCATGTTTGTTTTCCAGGGGTGAGGAAAAAGAAATCAAATTTGCATTATGGAATATTGCATTTATGTTGGGTACCTGTGCCAAATGGAAGGAAGGAACAAAAGAAGAGATGTCCTGACATTGACCACCCAGGGTTTTGCATCTACCCATTTGTGCAAGTCATCTGGTCCTAAAGCAGAAACAATGCCATCATGACTGCAGGAACCCAGGATGGAGGCCAGTATGATGCCCAGGAAAGAACAGGCCATCATTGAAGGATAGGACATTGTGGACCTCCACATGATAATTAGTTTCCAAAATCCTCTTCCTCTCCCAGGAAACAAGGTTAAGAAGACTTTAATCTCCCTTTTAGTTAGCTGATGAAAATGTTGAACATTCCCCCAATACTACTCCAATTCTGTCCTGAACATGCAGATACAGTTTCTTCCTCATTTTCTTCTTCTACAGCTTTTACACTCTCTGCCTCATCTCCTTCCCTCCTCCCCGTTCCCCAATACAGACACAGACACACCCTGCTCCCTTCATTTCTTCCTTCAGCACAGTCAGGATGAATGGGCCGCCTTAATGAGGATATCAAATTGATACTGGGGCAGGGGTTCTAAACTCTGTTTTGTACCATGGTAAAGTCTGGTAAAGCCTCTGGACCCCTTCTCAGAATAATTTTTTAAAAATTCATAATTGAAGAAAATGCTTGATTTTAGTTAGAGGTTTAGTTAAGACATATACATATTCAATCCTTAACTTTCACAAAAGTAATGTTCCTAGAAAATGGCACAAAAGTCAAAAACATAAATGTTTATACATTGAACCTGTGAGAAACAGAGGGTTAGGTTCTTGTGACCACCAAAAATTGTAATCTTTTGCTAGAGATTGCTGAAAAATACACTTTTATGCATAAAATTCTTTATAACAAAACATGAATTCTGATTATACGCACTTTTCCTGACACAGTATACAGAATAAAACTGAAAACATGCAAAACATTTTTTCTCATTAGTAATTCCCTAGAATTCTGACCTTTTGTGCTAATATCTCAATTTTCAAAAAAAACAAAACATTGATTTCAGACAATACTCATGTTTATAACACATGAAATCTACAGTACCATAAATACTGTACAGCAAATAAAATTCCTAAAACTAAAACCTTTTTTAACCTGAATCTTATCTTCCATGGTGTCAGATGGCAGTGTGAGTGCATTGTGCTGTATACTATACTGCTGTAGACCTCTCTACCTTGGCTGCCCTCTAAAAACTAAGGGAGAGGCTGCTAGGACTTTGGTCACTGCTGTGTGAAGCCAGGACTGGTGAGGTCTTGACATCACCTTAGATCCCAAGGGACTAGCACTATGCTTTGGGGACATAATTGCAAAGCAAAACTTGAGTTTTAAAGGCAAATAATGAAAATATGCAATGAATACACAGGGAACTCTTTACAATAGGGTTGAACAAGACCAGTGAAGCATCTAGGAGGTGGCTTCACAAACTGGCCTGCATAGCACCTTGAATTTTTTTCCTCTACTTTGAACAGCCGAAAATGTGTGTGGGTGCAAACATGGAAGTGAAAATGAGCTTACTAATAAAATCATGCAAATGCTTGAAGTCACACAAGAGGATTAGCACACATACATGTGTGCATGTTTATATGTTCCCATCTGAGTTCACTGACCTCAGGAAATCTATCCACAGGCCTCCCATGGATTTAAGACTAAGAACCTTTGCATTAGGCACTTCCATACCCTTTCATGTTCCCAAGAATTTTCATAGACTTAAAAGCCTCCCAAGTGAAAGAGGTCTTTACAGAGGTCTTCTAGTCCAACTCCCTCATTTTACAGCTGAGGAAATTTCCCAGGGAGGTAAGTGACTTTCCCAAGGCCACTGGGTAATGAGCATTAGATGTGGGATTTGCACTTAGAGTCAGTATCCTTTCCACCATACCACCCTTTCTCCTTTATCATCTGAAAACTAACTGAAGGCTCTTACAAAATTTACTAGCAGAAACTTGCTTATTCCCACCATTTCCCCTGGGTGAGAGTAGACAAATCGGGTCTCTTTTGAAATAGCACCTTATTATGGTCAGGCTGCCATCCGGAAAGAGAGGCAAGGAGGATGGTTTGCTTTTTGATATTAAGATAACTCTTTTGAACTTTGCTCGCCTGGGGCTGTCTCTCTACTTTGGCCCTTGAGGATGGATCAGAAAATTTGGATGGCCTGAGGCTGAAAAGTGAGTGCTAGATCTTCAGGCTGCTTCTGATCTTGATTTTCTTATTAGCTTTTCCCTGAGAATATAGAGAACCCAATGGGAGTGATCACAGATTCAAAGTCCCCAGAGGCTTTAAGAAAGGAGGCCTGACTTAGGTTTCTCTTTTCCCCCCCAGGCACAAGGCTCATAAATCTTCCGGTTGTGATATTATCTCTACAGCTTGTTCCTGTTGTAGCATAAAGGGAAACAAGTTTCTGTCTTACAGGAGGTGGAAGGAAGGAAAAGAGAAATCAGGCTCTGGTTTCTAGAACACACAGTTTTGCTGGCCTGGCACAAAATATGATTAATGAAAGTTTGGGGAATTTTTTGTTGTTGTTGTTGTTATTGCTTCTAAGACAGTTAGGGGTTAGGGTTAGGAGGGGGGCAGTTGAGAGAAAAAAAACACCAGAAAAAGAATGACTCGGGTGAGAAATTAGTACTGGGCATTAGGGCAAGGTCATGGCAACCTGAGTCAGCCCACAGATAGTAAGTAGCATTCATCAAAGAGCCCCCAGACTTGGAGTCAGAAGATCTGGACTGTAGTCCTTGACCCTGCTGCTTATAAATTCCATGACCTTAGGCACCTTATCTCACTTCCCTGAGCTGGTTTTCCCTCGTCTTTAAAATGGGCAGGATAGTACTTATACCTCATAATGTGGCTTTGAAGAATGGGGGGGGGGTTGGGAATGAGTGGGGAAAGAGGTTCTTAAAGCATGAATTTCTAGGGATTCATGAAGCATTAGCTACATGTGAGTCTTGCTTGTGTGTTGTGGGCTCTCCAGGGGCTGAACTTAGAGATGTGCAGAGAATGATTGACAGCCTTCAGAACCCCCAGGATTCTAATCAAGTGGCCCAGTCACTAATGATCCGGAGAGAAGTTATGTTTCTACAGTTTGATGCAGCCGTGAGACACCTCATCCAGTAAGCACTGTGAATGCTGTTCTGGTGAATTCTGCTTTTAGAAAGGTCCTTGCTAGGTGACCATGCAGCAAGGACCCCCTCCTGGCAAGATTGGGAAAGAATGACTTTAAAATAGATGTATTTAAAGCAGATTGACCCCCAAGATTCTCTCTGCCATATAATCTCTCTTACAAGAACTGTCCCTGACTTCTCCTCCTCTCCTATGATAAGAATTATTCTTTCCTTATTTGTTGCAACAGAAGTCATTTCAGTTGCCTTCTCTGTTCACTCTTGTAGCCCCTTTTTCCCATTGGTGAGTTCTTCCTGGAACCTTCATTTTGAGGAAGGGCCCAGACCAGCCATCCTTCATTTTGATTTTGGCACAAATGCCTCTATGCCCACCCAGTACTGACTTCCCCTCTTCTGGTCCTTTTTATGTGTTATCTTCTACCGTTATAATATGAGCTCCTGTTTTTTTGCTTTTGTTTTTTACTTATAGTTGTATCTCCAGTGCTTAGCAGAGTGCCTGGCACATAGTCAACTCTTTTTTTTTCTCCAAATGGTTGTTTTATCAGATTTTGTTTGAACATTAAATTTATCCTCATTTTGCAATCCAAAATAGTTACCTGAAGTTTGTTATGGGTTTTTGTCTTGTGTTTATATTTTTATTGGTTTTTTTTTCTTTTTTTACTCTTTGGCACAATTTTGGGGGCATTCAGACTGTCACAGTACAAGTCAGGAGAGAGCTTTCCCTTTGTGCTGCCAATTCTGAGCATTTAAATTTTGGTTTGGGTTGTGGGTTTGTCTTTAAAGTATGTTTCTGACAATCTCATTTTTCCTATATCCTCTAAACCAGAGTGCACATAGTCAACTCTTAATAAGTGCTGTTGACTTGTTAGCTTGAGCTAGATGGTGAAGGGACTTGAAATCATGCTCTGTGTGAATCAGTTGAATGAACTGAGGGTGTTTATACTGAAGAAGAGGAGCTGTTAAAAGCATGCTCCCTGTTTTCAAATATTTGAAAGACTGTTAAGTAAGAAAAAGTTAGACTTTATCTACTCAACCACAGAAGGCAAAACAATGATCATTGGGTCAGTGTATGACATGGAAGGGATAAGGGGAAGGGGACACTGGCAGGAAGGTTGGGGGGAAGGGTACCCAGTGGCATTTGCTCCAACAGGTCCTCTAGTACCTAGATAGGTTGTGGGAGACCAAGGTGAGAAAAGAGGGAAGAAAGTCCTACCCCTTTCTTCTGCCTAGGCCTGTATGGCTTCAAATGCCATCTCTGATATATGTCCTGCTTGTGAAAATCATGAATTTCTGATAAATCCTTCTTTCAGCTTTCTCTTACTTTTTTTTCCCTACCTTCAAAAAGGACAGTAGTACTTCGCAAAACAGCTGAATGTGCTGTTTCTTGATGTAAATCAGAGACTTTTGCCTGTGTAGGAACCAGACAAATAAAACAATTTGCTTACAACTTCATGAACATTGTATTTGACTAGTGTAATCATGGCCTTAAAGAGAAAATTTTACTTGAATTACAACTCATTGAGTTTTAGCTTCAGCCAGAATAAGTGTGGGAAGGGTGGGAGGAGGGGAAAAGTAGCCCCTGTAGATTTCTGCTTATCCTCATGTTGCTGCAATAACTGTGTGTTTCACTTTGATTAACCACAGTATGAACAGCCACCCAAGGGCAAGCTCTGTGAATGAAGTGCTCTTAACTTCAGCTTAGAAGTGTGTCAACAGGGTTCCACAATAAGAATGAAAATTGTTGGGTTGTATTTACTTGTTGTTTTTATTATATTTTCATTCTTAGCAGAGGTCAGTTCTGTGAACTTAGAATATAAACTAAGTCCCGTGAGCTCAGAAAGGAAGATGTTTTGAAAACAAGACAGAAAACAAAAACTTTTTAAAATAAGTTGATAATTAGCATCCCTTTAATTGACAAAAGGCTTTAGGGGGAAAAAAAGTAGTTTCTCAAGTGGTTTAGGATGAGAAGGGAAACACTATAGTATAGTAAGAGAGCACTGGGGGCAGAGGACCTGGGTTCAAATGCCCCTCTGACACTTGCTACCTTTGTTAACATTGGACAAGTCAGTTGGGTTCCTTGGGCCTCAGTTTCTTAATCTGTTAATAATTAAAAAAAAAAGGTGGGGTGGGGAGGGGTTGGACTAGCTAAGGGTCAGAGATCTTATTTAAGCATGCTGTGCTAACCACTTTACAAATATTATCTCATTTTATCATCTCTACAACCCTAGTGCTGTTATCATCCTCATTTTACAGTTGAAGAAACTGAGGTAAAAGGTTAAGTGACTTGCCCCAGGTCACACAACTGGTAAATATCTAAAGTAGGTTTTGACCTGAGGTCTTCCTGACTCCAGGTCCAGTGCTGTAACCACTGTGCCACCACCTGTCTGCCAGCCTTTGACTCTTTCCTTCCTTCTCCTCAACATCTTTCCCCACCCCTACCCCACTCCTAAATACACACACATACAACTATGCGCAATGACTGTTTTCATAGCCTGAATCTGTGACTGACAGGGTGATCAGTTGAACATGAATGTGCAGAAGGTCTACACCTGGTTTCCCTCTTATGGGCCAAGCAATGTCCACATAAAGGTCTCCTTCAGAACCTCAGGATTAATGTAAGCTTATCTCATAGTTTACTTTCATTTGAGTCCTGCTGGTGAAGCCTTTGTGAGCTGACTACCCTTCTATCTAATCTGAGTCAAGCCTTAGGCAAAATTAGGAAGTGGGTGAAATCTCCATTGTATATCCCATCTCCCCCTTCTGTCTCCTATCATCTCAAAATCCTCATATCCCCCATTGACTTTACTGTATTCCCCTTCCCCTGTTTCTCTATTTTTGTTGATGGTGCCAACATTATCAGACATAGTGAGGCAGCCCTGCTAGTGGCTAGAATACCAGACCTTGAGTTAGGAAGACCTAACTTCAGATCTTGCCTCTGATACTTTCCAGTTCTGTGATCTTACATGCCTCTCTGAGCCCCATTTGTCTCACTGGTAAAATTAGGGGCTTGGATTAGAGCAGAGATGTTAAAAACTTGGCCTTCAGGCTGCATCAGATTAAAATGTAATTAGGAAATAAAAATACAATTAATAATAAATGAAATAATAAATAAATAATAGTTAATGATGATGGGGATGATAAATAATAAATAAAAATGCAATAAAACATATAATGTTAATTTGTGGTTTTCTTAGTCGATATGTGGCTAGCAGTTTAGTGACCTCCCTCCACTTCTGTTTGAGTTGGATACCATTGGACTAGAGGGCCCCAAAGGGGCTCTTTAGATTTAAATCTATGATCCTATGATCTTCCCAGTCACCCAGGCCTGAAACTTCAGAGCTATCTTTTACTCTTCTCTCCCTCACTCTTTCCTCTCTTCCCAAACAGGTCCTTCTTTCTTCTCACCTTAACAATGGTGGTTGTTTCCTGACTGCATCATCCCCTCTCTCCCCCTTAGTCTCTTCTTTCTGCCATCTATCTTTGACACAGCCCAAATAATCTCACTGAAACAAAAAATATTCAATAGTTCCCTGTTGCATGTAGGATAATATGCAAACTCCTCTGCCTGGAATTTCAGATTCTACAGTCTAGCTCTGAAGCATTTCCTGATATTTCTCCTTTTCCTTTGGCCCCACTGAAATCCCATCTATCACCTTTTAGGTAAGGCCAGACCTACATTTATCCACATAGCTAGTGCTAAATTTTATAGTAGTGAATGTTGTGTTAACTATTCAATGATTTTTAAAAATTGTCTCATCTCAGGTTGCAGTCTTCTTCCCAGCTTGGAGTGCTAGACCTGGAGTCAGAAAGATGTGTCCAAGGCTTCTTACTAACTGTTTCACTTAGCTGTGTGACCTTAGGCAAGTCACTGAATTTCTCTGGGTCTCCATTTCCTTGTCTAAAAAAATGAAGGAGTCGGACTCAATGGTCTTTAAGGTCCCCTCCCACTCTAACTCTATGATCCTATGATTCTTAATTCTATAGTGCTGGGCTGATAGATTGTGAACCTTGCAAGCAGAGGCTGAGTCTTATTCATCCATGTGTCTTCTAACTCTTAGCACAATGTTACTCACAGAGCAGCTGCTTAATAAATACATGTGGAATTGAATTTTAATTGGCATTGGCTCTTTCCTACTCATCCTTTTGGGTCTATAGCATTTTTCAAAAGACTTATTACTCCTGGGCTTCAATTCAATTCACTTAACAAATGTTTATTAAATAACTGCTATGTGCAGATTCGGGGTGGGGGACCTGTGGCCTCGAGGCTAAATGTGGCTCTCTAGCTCCTCAGGTCTGGCCCTCTGACTGAATCCAAACTTCACAGAACAGATCCTTTTAGTTTAAATGTTTAAATGACTTATACAGGGTCACTAGTAAATGCCTTGGATTGTGTCCATTAATCCACGACTGGCCCCAGTGAGGGGATTAGGGATTTCAGGAGCTGTGAAAGACTCTGGGCTCCCCAAATATCTATCTGAGTAAATCTACCATGAGTCCAAAATTTCTACCATTCAAGTCATTCATTTTGGTTAAAGCCCCCTTTCAAAATGGAAATGTATTTAAAGGGAACTTCAGGTTTTTTCTAGTATACCCCTTTTATTCTATGGTTAGTGGAAAATGAGTGAAGCAATCAATGTGATTTACCCAAGATCACTCAGAGAATTAAGTGGCAACTAGCTTGGCTAACTCCAAATCCTGTGCTCTCTCCAGTGTACTCTACTTACTATTATTTTGAAAAACAGAGAACAAAGGCCCTCTGTGTGCAGAACACAGGACTGATAAGTTTTGATAAAGGAGTGGAAGTTAGTAAAGGCGAGAAGCATGCATTCTATTCTAGGAAAGGTAGACCAAAGGAAATGGTATGGCATGAAGGCAGGAAGGTAGGTGACTATGAGACAGCAGGAATGTGCTGGGCCCCTGGAGGAAGGGGAAGAAGGGGACCCTAAAGGGTTGGCAGGAATGGGAGCAGGAGGACAAACTTCCTTGTTTCA